GCCTGGCTCCAGACTGGGAAGAAGCTCATCCTGCATGCAAGTGACAGACTGGAGGGATTGTGTCATCAGCAGACACCACAATAATGAGGCATCCATCACATTGCCTCATGAACATCAGCATATTTGAAAACAGGCCCATCATGTGTCTGCACATGACTGCCTCTGCCCCCTCTAGTGCTGTGCAGTGCTACCAGTGTGTCTATAAAGGTGTTTTACCTAATCTCCTCTCGGGGTCATATTCTACCAGCTTGCTCTCGTAGATGGTTCGGACTCTCAGCTGCCTCTTAACGGCTGCAATGAGGGGAGGTCGCTGAAACAGGGCACCGGTCAGAGTTTCTATTGCCTGGGGGAGAAGAAGACGACAACGACTGGCAGCCATTACCTTTACACAGTCCACACCATCCCATCAGCACATCTAGACACAAGAGCCTGCTGCTGGTGGGGAAATCATTTCCCTCTTGCACATCCCATGATCATACTGCATTACAGCAAGATCGTCTGAGCCACTTGCACGTAGCTCTAGATAGGAATAATTTCCCAGCTACCAATGGGGCAGAGAAGAGGTATATTAGGCTACTTTACAAGGCAGCACCATGTGATCAGACCACTTTCTTCACCTTGGCTGACACAGCCCCTATGAAGAGGGGCTCCGCCCTGCTCCCACAGAGCTGGCCAGACACCAGTGGCTCCTAGCAGCACACTGAAAGGCTGGCGGGTATTTGGAGGCTGCACAGCATGGGGACCCTGGAACAGGAATCTACATGCTGCAGGAAGGGCAGTGCAACACGACTGAGAATGGATTTACCCTCACTTCACAACCTCAGCATGCCGGCTAGGGGGAGACTTAAGACACTGGGCTTTTTAAAATGTGCAATCGCAGCCCTGCAAAAGGTATCTAAACATCTCAAGGACCGAGGTCTGTGATCTCGAGGGAGACTTGCAATTGGTATGGACAATCCTACCATACACGGACAGCAAACACAGTGAACCAGTGTGAATGACATATCTGATTAAGTAACATGATGTCATGCAGCAGAATGGGCAGTTTACTCTTTTACCGCTACTGCAGCGAAATCCTCAAGGGCTCTTCAAGAATGCCCTACTCCAAGTATCCAATGCACACTGATGACAACACAGCAGGACACTGATGGGCTGGGCTATGATCTACTCGCAACTGTGACTTACCCTGGAAAGCTGAATCTCGCTTTCAATAGCATTGTGCAGCCGAACAATTCCCACATACTCTTTGCCTGAAAGAACGACAGAAGAGTAGTCAGGAGCGGCCACTTGCATTTTACTGTTCCCACCATGGTGGTATTTGCCCTGAACAACCGGAGCAACCACTTGTGTGTCAATCAGAACGTGCTGTGACCTGATCAGCTAAAAAGGGTGACAGTGCAGAGATCAGGAAACCAGTGATTTGCTTCTAGACACTAGTCTGAGGTCAGGCTCTCCAGTTCATCCCACCCTTGTATTTGGCCACAGTGGACAGCAACCTTGGCTGCTTTAGAGGCCTGGAAGGACTGCAACTGGAAGTCCCTGCTCATCCTTACAATGCTGTCAAGTCTTCCAGCTGGCCACTTAAGAGGAACCAATCCCAATGCAGTAAGTGACATGCCTGCACTCTGTTGCGACTTAACCAGCCGTGTAGCTCGCTCGATGCACACAATCAGACACCCCGTCACCTTGGGGTCAAGGGTCCCACTGTGCCCTGTCTTCTCAACCCGGAGGATGCGTCGGATCCAGGCAACCACCTCATGGGAGGAAGGGTTGGATGGCTTGTCAAGATTAATGAAACCTGTCCTAGAACACAGTACACAGAACATGAGACTCACCAATACCACTTGATATCCTGGTTGTATTATTTTACCAAAGGCACCTGGCTTCTAAAAAGATGTTCTGCAGCCAATAAAAACGACATCCTACCTATCTCTCTCAGAGATCTGGAAGGGAGGGACCTTGAGAGGTCATAGAGTCCCGCCCCTGCCCTCAGACAGGACCACGTACCATCCCTGACAGATTTGCCCCAGATCCCTAAATGGCCCCTCAAGGAGTGAACGCACAATCCTGGGTTTAGCAGGCCAATGCTCAAACCACTGAGCTATCCCTCCCCATCCAACATTGTCAAGGATAGAGCTCCTCATATGTGGTAGAGATATGAATGACTAGTTGACTATCCAATTAACAAGTGCTTAGTCGACTAGTTGCTTCCCCCAGGCCTTCCTGCCTAAATCAGAGAGGCAGCAAGGTGGGGGGAGAGGAAGGGGTACTTCAAAGAGGCAGTGCCACATGGAGCCTGGGGCCAGACCCTGGGCTCCACACAATGCTGCTGCTTTGAAACGTCTAGTGTCAGGCTCCTTGCAGCATTTCAAAGCAGCAGCACCCTGTGGAGCCCAGGATCAGCAGGGATGTCCCCAGGTGACTCCAGGCAACACGCATGCAGCCTGACACTGGGGTACCCATGGCGTTTTTGTGCCTGAAGTGTAGCAACAGCTCTAAAGTGTACACTGTTGCTACACTTCAGAGGCAGAGGCACCGTATCGACTAATCAAATAGTTGATACAAATTGCATCGATTATTCGATTAGTCAGTTACTTGAAATTTAACATCCCTGATACATGGAGCATTTTCAGAAGTGCTGAGCTATCAACAGCTCTCACTGAGGTCTACAGAAGCTGTGACCCGCTCAGCACTTAAAACAGGACTTTTATTTAGCAACTTAAATTTAACTCATTTTTTAAAAAAAAATCTTGGCCTTACTGCATCAAACACTACCAGAGAAAACCCCACCAGCCTGGCAAAACATCTCCACTAATGCTTTCACAGTGGAAGGGCATGTGTTTCTCTTCAGTAACACCCACCGTACCATGACAGGAAGTGAACAATGCTGGGGAGGGCAAGGTGTAGTGTTTGCTGACACTATCTACCCCCAAAAGAATCTATCTAGAACAAATTGAAGCGTACAAGTCTGCTAAGCAAATTTAAAAAGGAATTTTCAATAGCCAACAACAGTGAAGAAAATGTAACTGTTTCCAGACCTACTTAAGATGGGAGAGTATAAACCATGACAGAAATTACGACTCTCAGCAACAAAACGTACCTAACATATTCAGCAATGTCTCTCTTCAGGGGATTGCAGCCAGAGGGGAGAGGTGTGTAGTGAGTCGTCCTCACATTTAGCTTGTCAAAGTTCTACAAAATCCAAACAAAATGTACAGCAAATAAAAAATATCCAAGTCTTATAGAAACATCTCATTCTACCAGGAATTTCTGATCACCATGGAGATCTGCAATCACATAATTATCATTTTAACTAGGCCAGAGTAACTAAAAATGCCTCTCCCAAAGTGGCAGAGCGCTAGAAACCAAGACCTGTAGTAGCCACAAGAATGCTTTCCACAGCAAGAAAGCCAAGCCTGCACAAAGAAGCTTAAAAACTCTGCTGAACAGAGCTTTGCAAAACAGAGCAAATCCAAGGAGTCTGTGTACAGCACCAGACTTACGCCAACATTATCCCTGTGCAGAAAAAAAGAAATGAGAGAAAATACTATCGGGATGGTTATAACGCAGCCCCAAGCTCATATGCAGCCAAATCAGGCACACAATGAGCACAAGGGCTTTTCAACCTTTGGGTCACAGAGCCTGGTTTCTAAGCAGGCTATTCTCTTTGTAGGCAGGCTAAGGGGCACGTGTGACACAAGTAGTACAGTAAAATTCCAGTGGTCTGGCATCCAATGGCCCGGCACCATCTGGAACCCGGAAGTGCTCCGGGCAGCCAGACAATTGGAGCTGCTCTGCCCCGGCTTTCCCGAGTCAGCCGCTGGTCAGTTTCAGCAGCGGCTGACTTGGGGACGCCTGGGGCAGAGCAGCTGGGGTGCTGCCGGGTTGGTCCCATAGCGCTGCCCCTCGGCATATCTGATAAGCTGGCACACCCTGGGTCCTAAAGGTGCCGGATTACTGGAAGTTTACTGTAGTGTGCTTGTATCTACACGTGTGCACAAACACAATCCTGTAATCCTCTTACCTTCAGCAGCAAGGGCCACTGAGACGTGTCCAGCTGAGCCACTCGGGATTCAGGTTTGATGAAAAATTCTTCTGTGTGCTGTATCTCCTGGGAAGAGAAATCACAGATCAGAGAAATGGAGCTGACATGCAAAGCATCTTTAATCTCTCTCTTACAAGTTATTGCGAGCATATCTTACATAATTCCCTTCAATGACAGCTACTCCAAAGCAACATAACCACAGCACCATCAACTTGTTGCAAAACGATCATTGTCTAGAAAGGTTATTGCTGCAACAGCAGGTAAAACTAAAAAGTTTGACATAATGGAACATGGCCCCTCAGAACTCCATGGGAAGGAAAAGTACTAAGGATGGCTACACATTTGAATGCAGAATACTTATCCCAGTCTGCTCCCTTCTTTCATGTAAACGCTAGTGAAGTTTCAGTTCCATACCCCTGGGACTGTGCCATTATCAACACCACAGAAAGGAGGCCATTCTCCAAAACACTATGGGGGCTGAATCTCTTTCAACACATTATAAAAAAAGCAAAAGCTAAACTAAGATTATGTCTGCACTAGAACTTTTATCAATCAGCGGTGTAAAAGGAAGCATACCCAAGCCAGCATAAGTTTCACCAATGGAAGCACAGGTGTGGACAGCTGTACCTCGGTAGGAGCTTCTCTCCTACCAACATAGCAACTGCTGTTCACTGGGAGTGGTTTAATTACGTTCCCACTGGCATACAGCAGTTACATGGGAGACCGTACAGCAGCATAGCTGCAGTGGTATAGTCATGCCACTGTAAGGCTTGCAAAGCAGAGACAGTCTTAGTTAAGGAACTTCTCCAATTAAAAACAAAAAAAAGACATGGGTAATCACACGTGTCTTAATGAATGCACACAATTTGAAAGGAAAAAATGCTAGACATTTCTCTAGACTTCTAGAGAAGAACAAATGGGGTGGAAAAAAAGCCTAAATCCTAATTTAGGACAGCTTTTCTTAAAAAAAAAAAAAAAAAAAAAAAAAAAAAACCTCATTCTAAGCACAAGGTTCTCTGCCTCCTTACTACCAGCTAAACCTGTAGTCAGTTGTAGCACAAATGTCATTCCATTGGATCTTAAACAGCTATTTTAGCCTCAAGAGATTTACATAAATTAACTGCTAATATCTGTTTAGTAGACAGACATTCACAGCCCCCCCCCCTCCAGTTTTATTTGTCTATGCACTTAGTGAGTCATTGGACCAAGGAGAGGTGCTGATTCAGGACAAAGACGTCTTCATTCTCCGACATAACACTATCCCACCTCAAGTCCTTGTGTCCCCATGGACAGCATACACCAAAACCAAGGCAAGAAACAACACTACCCTGCCTTCCGTCCTGCTGCTTCTTTCCCCTCCATCCTCCAAATGAAGGCCTAAAATGGCAACCATTTAGGTTACTGTAGCTACATTTACACTACAGCCCAGATGGATGCACTGAGATTGATAAACTGGTGATCAATTTAGTAGGTCTAGTGAAGACCTGACAAATCAACCACAGATCACCATTCTAATTCACCCTGTTACTTTACCTGGAAGAGAAGAGTAAGGGAAGTGGATGGGAGAGTTTCTCTTGTCAGCCCCCCATAGAGAAGACCTCAAGGTAACTGGAACTAAGGTATGCGGACTCCAACTGGTAGCTAGAATTGCATAGCTTAAGTCAACTTTCTGTTGTAGTGTGAATAACATTGTTAAAATGAATTTAAGTAATTGTGTAAACGTGAAGAGAGAAGGCTCCCTGCATGTATGGCAGTCCTGGGCAAAATCTGGCCCACGAAGCCACCAGATTCAACCTGCAGAGGCAGCAGGGAGCCCCTGGCAGGCTCCCTTTCTTGCCCCATGCAGAAACAAGGCTGCAGGGCTCCATTTAAAGTTTTAAGAACCGCCCTGCCCTCAGCACATTTCCATTGGCTGGGTTCTAGCAGAAACCAGCCAATGCGAGCTGCTTGTTAGAACAGGCAGCTAAGAAGAGTCACGCCCCCTCTCCTAGACCCAGTTCTCCATGAAGCACATGGCCAGGCAGGCAGGCTGGCTGGCTAACATTGTAAGCTCTGCAGGTAGGCAGGCTACTTTGGCAGCTGACAAGTCTCTCAGCCATACCCTGCTTCTGGCACCCTAGCCCTTTCCTGCCCCAACTCTCTCCCCTCTCCCCCAACATACCCAAGCCTTCTGTCCCCCTCTTACACCTATACCCCCTCCCATATCTGGCACCCAACTCCCTCCCAGACTCCAGTCTCCCTCCTGCATCCCAGACCCTTACCCCAAGCGCCCTTCTGCACCCAACCTCCATCCCAGACCCCACATCTCCATTAATACTATGGAAGAATGTGGCCCTCAACCACTTTCCACAATTTTGGGAAGGGCCTCCCTTCAAAAATTATTGCCCACCCCTAGGCTACGTCTAGACTGGCATGATTTTCCGCAAAAGCTTTTAACAGAAAAGTTTTTCCATTAAAAGCATTTGCGGAAAAGAGCGTCTAGATTGGCACAGACACTTTTGCGCAAAAGTACTTTTTGCAGAAAAGCGTCCGTGCCAATCTAGACGCGGTTTTGCGAAGGCGAAAATGGCAATTGCGGCTATCGGGGCTTTTTTGCGCAAAATAGTTTTTAGCTGTCTACACTGGCCGTCCTACGCAAAAGCATTTGCACAAGAGGGCTTTTTCCCGAGCGGGAGCAGCATAGTATTTGTGCAAGAACACCGACGATCTTACATTAGATCGTCAGTGTTCTTGCGCAAATTCAAGTGACCAGTGTAGACAGTTGTCAAGTTTTTCTGCGGAAAAACTTGCCAGTGTAGATGCAGCCCTAGTGTACAGGGCGGCAGGTGGCTCCCTGGGAGCTGATGCACATGGGGAGATGGCTGTTAAGCCGGCTTCCCATGCATATAAGGAGCCTGCATGTAACCATGCGCATTAATTGATGAGCCCAGGCTTATTGGTTAACTGTGTGCATAGATACACTTTTACATCCCTTATTAAAACGGTTAGGGCTTTTCTTCAGTACATGTGCTCTATTTATTGCATCCTTCAGATATGATAAATCAGTCTCTAAGCACTCTCCCTTCGGCTGGGGCACTGCACCAGGATGAGGAGAGCAGGTGAAGCTGGACCAGAGAGCATCAGCCCCCTCCCCTCGCACCTCAATGCATGGAAGACACCACGTGGCATGCTGACTTCAGCTAAGGCCGCGCAGCTGGAGCGGGCAATTGTAGAGCTTATTGCATCCTTCAGATATGATAAATCAGTCTCTAAGCACTCTCCCTTCGGCTGGGGCACTGCACCAGGATGAGGAGAGCAGGTGAAGCTGGACCAGAGAGCATCAGCCCCCTCCCCTCGCACCTCAATGCATGGAAGACACCACGTGGCATGCTGACTTCAGCTAAGGCCGCGCAGCTGGAGCGGGCAATTGTAGAGCGGCCGCGGCCGCAGGGCGAGAGTCCAGACATGGCCCCGAGACACGGTT